ACAGTTTCTGTACAGGATACTGAGAGGCAGATTGCTACCCGATCCCCCAGGCCATTCACTCCTCCAACTGAGAGGCATACACACACTCAATTCCATATTTTGTTTCATTGCCTTCGAATTTTTTTCCAATCCACTATACCCCAGTTTAAAAAGGGGTTTATGAGTCAGGTGTGAGTCAGGATCAAAGGATTTCAAGAGAGGTAAGGTATTCTCTTCAAAGGAAGAACTTTATGGACCTTATTGGGTCTTTTGCTGACAACACTATCAGCAAATGCAGATTCTTCTAAAGTTCCAACAAGAACCGTTTGGTGTGATTCTCTAACTTCAATGTAAGAAAAATACTTGTCCAGTGGGAACTTTGTCATAGAGGCTTCATAAAAGCAAAATATTTTTATGGCACACTGTGGTGAATGGTTTATCTGGAGACGTTGACCTTTTTCTTCTTTTCAAAGTAATGCTCCATTCCTACACAATTTTAAAGGTAAACTTTATTTCCTTCCTGATTTGAAGTCTGAGTGTGTAGCCTCTCTACAATGTGAATGAATGGCCTGGTTGCATCATCCACTAAGCAGTCTAACAGCATGGTTCTTCTCCTTTAAACATCATGAATTCTCTGCAGAAGTTACAAGAGTTTGTCTCCTTCCTTTTCTGGGTTTCCATGCGTAACTTCCTTTTCATATATCAGCTAAACATTGAAATTGACTGTGGCACAGATCAATTTCTTTTAAAATATCTCACATTCTAAAGATCTGCACTTTTTCCCACTTTCTTTTTTTAACACGATTTTCTTTTTAAACTGAGGGAACATGCTGTATCAAAAACAGGGTTCTGCCTTTTGTTTTTCACATACATGTTTGATGCCAGTTTTGTGACTTCAACAGAACTAAATTTGCTTATAGATTTACTTTATGTGCATGCTACCAAAACTATGACTGCCGTGATTTGCAAGAGGTTTTCATTTTTTTTCTCAAATATTTACTAATTTTCAGCATCATTTTAGCTGCTTCATTCAAAACTTTTTATTCCGGAACAACTTTGATTTGACTTCGTTTTTGTTTCAACTCGTTAGATAACCAACTATGTAATAAGTTTGACTCTGGAGGTTTCCATAATTCATGGGCCAAAATACTGACACTGTATCCTTTGACATGTAGAATATCTCAGGAAGCACACAAAAATTACCATTTGCAATTTTTTTCAGAGATCTTACAACACGATGTCCGAGAACATAGGAATTGCCAAGTGAGCAATGGCAGAGCAGGCGCAGAAGTGTTCTCTCAGGTTGCCATCCCTGGAGCAGTGGACATGTAACATCTGCTTGGTAGACAAATTGACCAATTGCCAAAGTTCAGAGGATCCTTACCATGTTGCTGTCTACTGAGGTATCCACAATCACCCAGACTCACAAGATTTCGGGAGGTTGTATACATCACCAACAGCCGATTCACAAGCCGATGCAGATAGCGGGCAACCACCAACCTGTCAGCGTCTGCGGGCAGGGAACACACGTGCACGCACCAGGAGGGCCTGCATGTGGCTGGGCTTTGGTTTTATTTCGGTTTGCCTGGTGATAAAACATAAAAATGTAAATATTGTTAATAAATTATTTTTTCATAAAAGTAATCTTTTGAAGCATAATCAGCACTGATGAATGACAATGCAGTCATCTGTAGTTTTCAAATAATTGTCTAGTTCAAGTTAATCTAAAACATGCCAAATACTGACAAAGTTTGAACTTCTTGGTTTGTCAAAGTATGATGGAAAGGTATGCTAAATTGGATATCCAGCAACTCATAATAAATGACTTTGCTTTTATCCGTCTCTCAAAAACTGCTCTCACTGTCAAAATACAATTGGTCCAAATTTCTGCACACAAGGTTGACTTTTTGATCTATGAAAAATGGTCAAGATGCTCATTTTGTTTTTGGTCATCAATGCTGATTACAAGATTAAAACCAGGTGAGAGATGGGTAAACCTCCTTTAAAGATTAAGTACTTTGAATAGTACAATTTAAGAGCTTAAAGTGAGCCAAAATACATACATGTACATGTACTTTGGATTGGCAAACATGGACTTCATATTTCTTAAAAAAGGCTTATCACAAAACATTCAGTTTCCATACAAATTTTGGGAGCAGGTTTGTAAGCTTAAGAAATATACCTGAATGCTTGATTGAAATTGCAAATAAAAGGGTGATCAGTGAAAGCATCTGAAGAGATACATTTATCTTCTTTACATTAATTCTTTCAAAACTTACATCCATTTCCCATCTTTCACCTGGCTTTCAGGAACTAATGAGTTCAACAAAACACAACAAACCTAAGATAACCAGCCCTCACATGTATACTTACATAAACTTGGTGATCATTTTAAAAGGATTCTTTCTTTTGAAAATGCTACAACAAAAAATTTGGATTTAGTGATTTTATGAGATCAGACAATATCTTTATGAACTGACTAGTGAAAAAATATATATATATATTCATGCTTTGGATGAAAAAGGTTTTTTAGCTCAGAATTTATACGCATCCGTTATCTTTACTCGAAGAATCTGTGCACAGCCGTATTAATTAAGTTCTCAGAGACAAAATGTTTGATTTAGACAAAAATTGGATATCTTATCAGAGTGAAGCTATCTTCTTTTGTTCAACTTTAAAGTCTGGCTGGAAGTGAGGACTGGTTAGAAAAGGACAAAATGTAAGTTCCATACATGTAAAAAATGTGATTGGTTTGCTCAATTTTGAAAGATCCTACCGTGAGTGAATACAGGGTATTTTTACATCATGCAAATATGCATACATGTACATACTGTACATTTATTGCATCATGGACTACTCCAAATTTCATGGTATGCAATTTCAGTTTTTACGTCATGTTTATCTCAAACGCACAAATACTGTTTTTGTCTTAGTTTAGACCACTCTGATAATGAAAACAACGCAAGGGATCTTTCAAAGCTGAACCACCTCACTGGACATTTGCCATAAATGTATAAATCCTAATTTCTTTAACCGCGCATCTTACATTATTTCAGTAGCTTAGCTCTGTGAATATTGAAATGCCCACAAACTGGCAACTTTTGAGACAATTTCAAACCAAGAACACCAGTGGAATCCAAGCTACCCTTTTTATGGTACAGGTCAACCATTTTGGTCGACTGAAATCATTGGAAAATTTGACATTTTTCACGGACTCATTTGGATGGGGCATTTTGACTGGAAATGGAACATATTTGCTTTCAGTTTGCTTTCAGGTAACATTTGAAGCTATGCCACTGTTTACATCCTTTCTCCATAAAAACTCTTTTTTGGTGCCTTTATCTGCATCACTCAAATCAAATGTCTTTCAGTTGGTAGAGTTCCTGATACATGTAGTAAACCTCTTTATGGGGTGACATGATATAAAGTCTTTCATCAAAGCCACAGCAGGAGATTGAAATGACTTTGGTAGGAAGCTGGTAGCTCATGGTAGTGGAGTGTCAAATGAAGCATAGGTACCACTGAGGACAGTATGGTTCTCATGGGATGTTTGCAGTGATCTGGAGTGTCAAATGAAGCACAGGTACAACTGAGGACAGTACAATACTCATGACAAGCTTGTAGCTAGTAGTGGAGTATCAAATGAAGCAAAGGTACCGCTGAGGAGAATATGATTCGCATGACAAGCTTGTGGCTAGTAGTGGAGGTCAAGGAAGCAAAGGCACCTTTGAGGAGAGTATGATACTCGTGTCAAGTTTGTAGCTAGTAGTGGAGTGTCAAATGAAACAAGGGTACCACTGAGGAGACCATGAATCTCATGTCAAGTTTGTAGCTAGTAGTGGAGTGTCAAATGAAGCAAAGGTACCACTAAGGAGACCATGAATCTCATGACAAGCTTGTAGCTAGTAGTGGAGTGTCAAATGAAGCAAAGGCACCCCTGAGGAGAGTATGATTCTTATCACAAGCTTGTAGCTAGTAGTGGAGTGTCAAATGAAGCGAAGGTTCCACTGAGGACACCATGATCCTCATGACAAGCTTGTAACTAGTAGTGGAGTGTCAAAGGAAGCAAAAGTTCCACTGAGGAGACCATGATTCTCATTGAAAAGCTTGTAGCTAGTAGTGGAGTGTCAAATGAAGCGAAGGTTCCACTGAGGAGAGTATGATTCTCATGACCTAGTAGTGGAGTGTCAGATTAAGCAAAGCTACCACCAAGGACAGATCTGCTATCTCATGCTGATGCTTGATTTGTGGAGACAAGCCTATTGTGGCACCACAGCTGAAATCCAATTTGTATTGTTTGTTATTGGTGTGTTTATCACAACTGTCTTCCTTGGATCTGAATTATTGCTCCTTTAAGTCTTATAAGATCTTGAGCACTGCATCCACATGGGCTTCCTGTCTCAATGGTTTGCCGTGGAAGTGTGGCCTCCTTTCTAGAAAATGGATGGCTGCAGCAAAGACAAAACAAAAGAAAAACATACTTCATTAAAAACACCAAACTACATGTATGCTTAATATTTCAAACTGGGCCGTGTATATACATCTATGAATATATACATGTTCATGACAGCTCCACTGAAATATGTACGTACAGGTCACTCCAATTTAATTTGCTGTTTTATGAATTTTGGTGATGTAAATTCTTCAAAGTGTAAAAAAATATGGAAACACAAACTTTTATTTTTATTCCCTCTCCCCGTGACATATTTGAAATTATTGATCCCACATTTTCTGAAAAGAGAAAAAAAAGATCAAAAATCCAAATAAACGCTTTTGCAGTTCATTCTCCATGAAACTCCAGAGTTGCTATGACACTAGCAATCCCGTAACGGTTTTAAGCCATCGTTGTACTGGTGGTCTTTTAACTGTTGTAAAAATATTTTTTTTATCTGGTAAATAATATTTGCTTTTAAAGTATTTGTAACCGTGTATAGTCTCAAGATTCTGTAATTAAGTCCTTGTTTAATATTCTTGATGTTTTCATTCCAATGCACAGCGTCCTGAGCTGAGATAGGTTTCTATGGAGGGCGTTTTAAAAGAAATTATTTTATCATTCTGATCACAGTATTCATTATTTAAATTTCTCCCTCAAACCTCATCAAAACCATTCAACAAAGCGGCGTCTGCGTTACCCTCTGAACAGCCCATGTGTGCGCTCTGTGCACACACATACCTGATACAGTAGAAATATGATAGTTATAGGATGAAAGAAAACAAATTCATGCATTGCATGCCAGCTTGTTCATGAAAAACATTAAGTTTCTAGAGTAAATTACACAAAAATATGTGGATTTGGTTGTTCTTGCGGTTCTTCTTATGTTGAAGTTCAGCTTTTCTTGCCTACTAGACGAACTCAGTGCAATCTATAGTGCTGAACCCAATGCACTGAAAATCATGTCTGATATGAGCTACACATCCCACAAACATTGCAAAGTGTGCATATGAAACTAGAAAAATATTCACCAAATGTTGTTCAGTTCAAGCTGCAAAAGTAAATCTTTCTCCCTGTGCATTTCTTTTGCTTTTTCTGGATTATTTGGAGGACAAAATATTCACTGACTCGGGAAGCTGGATAGGGCCAAGTCAATTCGAATAATTCACTATTCAAATATTCGACCTTCAACTCGATCAGATATCCAAATATTGGGCCGTACTAACTGACAGATTGTTGAGGAACAAACCATATACAAAATCAGTTGCAATAACGCACACAGTTGTACATTATAATCATTATAATAGCTCCTCACATCTACGAGTATCTAAAGCCATGATTTAGCACGGTTTAAGAGATGAATAATACTTCTTTTCCTGTTAAAAATGTATATTTTAAATTTTTTAATGAATAACAAGTTCTTTTTATTAATCGTTGTAAGGTTCTGTTGCTTTTCATTTGGATCTTCTTGGAATAAACCTCCATAGCGCAGTTTTGCTCATTTAAAACAAAAGAACATTCTCCCTTCCTTTTCATGAATTTTGCGATCGAATATTCAGTTATTCGGCACAGCCCTAGAGCTGGAAGGTGACCGGTGCATCCAGTCTATGTTATAGGCTGAATCCGTGCCCGATTTCCAGATACCATTATTTTTGAATTTCAGACAAGATTTCATTTTATACGCTGAAATTTGCAAAGGTTCAATAACATATATCACAAAGGTAAAACAGTACCAGTACATGTATTTCACCTGATGAATTTGAACTTTTTTATGAGGATAGTTAAGGCAAAGGTCAAGTTTTAAAATTGTTCAAGGGAAAGTCAAAGTACACAATGTTAGGGACTCATAATGTACATGTCAGGCCTACACGCATACATGGTGTACTTGTCACGTACAGGCTGACCTGCTGAACGTTGCTTCTCTGCGAGTACAATACAAACTTGTACTTGTATTTTCCACAGCTTACAAATTAATATCAACACTCTTAAATAAACACATGTAACAAATCGTGGATATGAACAGCAAGCACAGCCTTTTGGTAAGAACGAAGCTTTAGGTTTTTAATTTATTTTTAGTTTTCTTCAAAAGAATATTTGGAAGGTAACTTGTTTTATCATTCAAAGCATACACGTACATGTACATGCATTTCATGTTCAAATGTCTCATTGTACAGAGTGAATGCGTGTTAAAATATGTACTTTAAAAGAGGTATTCAAACGGCTTCAAATATTTCGCCATCTAGGGTTTGGGAGACACATGTACATGTAGATTGGCAACCCAAAAACCTATACAATGAATTCATCGGCCGAAAATCAACACGGGAGAAATAACAGGCATTTTCTTTCCATAACCAACCAGACCAATTATGTTTGTGTTAGTTGATGACATAACAGGGGAAATGCACCACAGGTATGCATGAAGATACATGTACATGTAAGATGACTTCGCTGTGCCCCAAAGGTAGTGAAATGTGGAGTTTTCATGACATGCAGAAAAAACACAATATTCAACATCAATCTTTAAGATGCGTAAACCTAAAATCTTACTCTTGGCTGGTCAAAATACATGTAAGTGAAATTTCTTCCAAAATAAGGAGTTGTTGAAGGTGGAGTAGGACATAACGTACATGAACGCATGGTTGCAAACATGTACATGTCAATGCGTGTGCACCTTGTTTACGTACTGTGGCAACTGACTATTTTCATGCAGCACGTCCCCCCCCCATTCGAGGTGCCCTGGCCTCAACAAAAAAAGGAGGAATGGATATTAAACATAAACAAGGCTAACAAAAACTTGCCCCAAAAACACACCACTGAAAGCTGGTGCCTCCCTTGTGCCCCCTCCCACTGGTAGAATCCTTCAAGCAGATGATGTAAACCATTCTCTTTGACTTTGTGCCAAAAAGTTCCATACAACAGTTTAGCTTTGTATGTTTGAATATGGTGTGAAAATGGGTACTTGCACAGATCTATGATTAACAAAAAAAAGAATGAAATGTGTTTTTCTAAAAATTTATGATTCCATATGTGTGATTTTAACACTTGTAGTTTTGAATATTTATTGAAATTTCTATTTTCAACTTTGTCCACTTCTCCATGGAACTACCCATAGGCACTGCACTAAAAAGAAACCAATATTGATTTGATCAAACATTCATTTACACTCAATCACTCACCTTGCTGACGGTTTGCTCAGAGATATTTCGATGCACTGCCCATGGGCATTAGTGTGGGGTCCCATTTCTGCATGAAAAACAAAAGTCCCAATGTTAAGTTGATACCTCACCAACCAGCACTGGCTAAATCATACCTAAAAGTAAAATATTGTTACAGGACAAATGAGGGCCACAGAGAGTAAGGCAGCTGATTAGCAGGTTATACATAAATAAGCACTACAGCAGGCTGACTTGCAAATTGTGGAATGAGGGCAGACAACATATCTCTTTATTCAATTGAACAACTGTTACAAATGGAGAGAATGTAGCATCCTCAATCCACAATGTTTGGAAAGCATTTTCTCCCAAACTGATATTTTCCATTTCAGAATGACGTTCTCTCAAGTTTTTATGCAATAACTTAGACTTACTAACTGGGGCATTATATACGTAATTTTTAATTTGAATTATGAAGGACTTGGTCTATCTATTGACTTGGTCTGTTGGAGAGACTCTAAACTTGGAAAAAAGGGTATACATGTACATGTATTTACCTATCGCCGGCAAATTTACACTGAATGACATTTTGCACATGGAGTGATCTCAAGACTTGCATGCTATCCGACACCAATCTGGAGGTAATTTATTTATAACCTTTATAGGGTTACTCATGCATGGGCACTGTCTACTTGTAGCTAGGTACTGTTTAGATAACTAAGATATCAAAAAAAGTTCTCTGAAAGAGTCCCATCTAGATGCTGCTTGACTCTCTGTGCACAAACTCTCTGAGACTGAGCTCAAAATTTTCGAGTGTTTTCTAAGTAAAAGACTTCGTTTATTTCCTTCCTAATTTGAAAATTTATTGGGGGATTGGAAATTGGGGGATCCTGTTCCTGTAATTGAGGGAAGAGTTACATTTCAACTTTTGAATTGACCTTGGTAGATGACTGTGACAATAACTGATGTTTTCAAAAAAGGGCAGGGTTTTGAGTTTTGAGGGAAACTGTGTTTTAACACATGAAAATATCATGGATTCAAATTTGCAAGGCTAGTTTATCAGTAAGAGTCACATTTTCTCACTAATTACAATTTGAAATTTCAAAAAAATAGGGTCAGCGCAATAACGAGTGATGCCTTTGTATTTTGGGGGGACTTATCAGTCTTGCAAGATTAAAATGCCAAAAAAACTGGGGGTCCCTGCTTCCAAGTTCCAGAACTGTAAGTAGGTGGTCCCCAAATATACAATAAGCCATACTGCTAATACAACGAGAGTGATTTGCACAATAGTATAAAGGCATCATGGAAAGGAAAAAGGGGCTAACACTGTCCCTTTTCCCTTTCCACAATGTCTTTCCACAGTTGTGCAAAATCAGCCATGCAGGATTAGGGATAGGGCTTATCGCCCATTTCTGGACACATTTTTGCATTCTGACGGCTAATAGGTCACTGTAGAGAATCATTGTCCTTACCCAAGTTTTGTTAACATTAATGTCCCAGTAATTTTTTTGTGGGTCTAGTTACAATAAATGACAATAACTTTATGAACATGTTCAAAAGACTTTATCATATTCTGGAAGGTTAAAATCAATACGGCCTAGGGCACGTCCTGTCAACGAAGGAGTGAAAGTAGGGCCCTGTTAAAGGGTCTATCACGTACGAAGTAAGCCTATTCACTGTGCATTGGAGAGACCAAATACGCACACGACGCCCAGCAGGCTACTTGCTAGTCCAGAGAGGCGCGCGGCCACGGCACTCGACACAGCGTCCGCCGGTAAAACACATGACTTGGATTTCTTCTACTCCGAAAGTTCGACCCTCTCCCCAAACCATCCATGAAGCACCTTAACATACTCATAAACCACTTGGTGCCACAAATATTGGTAAAATCTTGCCATTGCCTGATTAAAAACGAAGAAAACAACACCCACCTTTAGAAGACGGACCTCCACGTGCCGAGCATCCAGCCATTTTTTTTTAGAATTCTCGAGGAACCAATCAGAAGCCTCCCTATATAGCAGACTCGTTTGGAGCCTTGTAATTGGTTACTAGAAACATGGGACAGAAATAACGTTTTTTAGTGTTTACCTTCTTCCGTTACTTAATTTTAAAAGGAAAAAAGTGCTAATCTGCCCTCAGGAAGTCTTCATCACTTTGGGGACAGATGAGCCAATAATCAAATAACATCTTATTCCCTTAGGCTATCCGGGTTTTTTTCTGTTATGTTTTCAGAGCCGATTTTCAAATGGTGCCCGGCGTCATGCACCCTTCACAACCTACCCCTCCCCCGGTGGTTCCATCTAGGGATCAAATTGTGGGGAGGGACAGCCAAACGTATATCACGAGGACAATAAAATCTAGGATATTTTTAATGAAATCATTTTAGGCTTTTCTGGAAAATGAGAGGAGACCAAAAATGCCCTTCACTATTCTTAAAAAAGAACTTTGGGGGCAGGCATAGCCTGAATCACCCTCTGCCCCCAGTTGGATGACTACCTAGAAAGGGGCCCGAGAAGTGCTCCCCTCCCCGGATGCCCGTACCCCCTCCCCTCCGTGCCCCATTATTTCGGAATAATCTCCGTTGAGTTTATATAGCTACGCATGCATACAGCTGCAGCTTTTTTTCTTGTGGTGCCCCCTTGAAAAAATGGGTACACCCCCAAGCCCCCCACCCCCCGACATTTAGCCCTGTCTGCCCACAATACATTCATGATCCCTATTACAATCCAAACGAAATTAAGCACACCATTACTGGTAGCAATCCATGTTTTTTATTACAAACAGCATATAAAGAAAAGAATTTATTCGTGGTATAATATTACTTAATTAAATATTCTTACATTTATTTATACAAAAATTTGTTCAAAGTACATGCATGTTGAGTTCCTATCAAAAGAAAAGATGATTAGTTGATATGGAAGCACAACAAACTCTGACCAATTTTCATTTTGTTTTAAATTTTAAACAGTCTTTAAAACATTCCTGATTATAATTAATTTGACAGACCTAAGATGAAATTACCCTGGGTCAAGCACTAGACTTTCTGCAAACAGGGCCTCTATTTCGTTAAGACAGTAAAAATCTCCATGTCAAAGTTTGCTGTAATGCTTCAGGTTGGCAAAATGTTTCTGTTACCAAAACCTGTAATAATATATTTAAACAAACCAGAGTCTTGGTGCAGATAATGAACCTAGCTGAAGGTAATTGGTGCCATGCCTCTAGACGGTTGTAAATGTACTAGTTTATAACTTACTCTATTATACCTGTATTCCTGTTATTCTTTTCATTATATGCTTGAAGTAGCATTGTTTCATTAGTTGAGTGCTCACATCTTGATACTGCCGCAGACTAAATGTACTTTAAAGCAGTGTTGTGCTAAGTCTAACAATTTCTTAATGACATACATATATCTGATTTTGAGCTCTAGTGTTCCATTCAGCGATAGGCTTTCATTTCCATAACCTGTTCAGAACGGTTTACTACAGAACTTACAGGAAAGCCAAATTGTTTTCATTCTATTCTCATTGGTGTAGTGACATTTAGTGACAATGGAGGGATAATGAAAAATATGGTAAAAAGGGAAACTGCCTTTGAATGTATAGCAACGTTGTAATATCAAGGAGAACTGTAAAATACAGACAGTATATTCATTTGAAACACATAAAAAAGAACACAGAAAGCTGATGGCTTTCTTGGTCTGAATGACGCCATACACCTTTGGGTAAGAAATTCTGAGTTACAGGTATAAGCCATGGCCTCTGGTTCCTCGTTTTTGTACAGTAAATAACTGGCATGAAGTTCTACTGTTGTACACTTTGTCAATTTGAATAGGATACTTTAAAAATCTAACATTTCAAAGTCTGTGTCAATTTGAAAAGTTAATTCAACATACAGGTAGCTTGTAACATTCAGCTCATAAAAATTCATCAAACTGGTTTCACAGCTAAGATTCTTAAAAGTTGATAGACAGTGGAAAAATCACTAAAATACCTCATAAATTTAGTCACACATTTGAACAGAAGGAGAAAGTTCTAAAATTGAATTCATAATCTGCTTTTTCATCCTTTAAATTGTGCTTCATCTTCCTGAGGAAGAAAAAACTACATCTATGATTTCATTTCAATTGTTTTAGATGAAAGTAATGTATATGATCAATTTCTTGTTCAAAAGCTACATACACTAACTGTTTGGGAAAAGCTAAACAAATTCATAACCTGTTAGGACTACTAAGCGATGACTTCACAATCTTCTTCCCCTCTAGCACCAGGGCCAACGGTGGTATGTCCACGTGGACAGGCTTGGCAGTAGGTGCTGCCCTCTTGTGACTGGTACATGCCAGGTGGGCAGGCATAACAAGCCTCCTGGTTTTCATACCAGCCTGACTCACAGGGAACTGAGCGGAGAAGATGCAGAATTGGTATAGGGATTATTATTACAGGAATTTTGATCAATCCTACAACATCTCTGTGAAATATGCAAACATGAATGCATTTAAGGTTACATTTCGAATGTGCAAGTTTGTTAACACAAACGTTGCTGCGAAAAAGACACAACATCAGTATAGATAAGTTTTGACCTCTGAGCATCAATAAAACACAGTTTAACATGTTGACTGCCGACTATGAGTATACTCGTAGTAACAGGTGTATTGGATTCTGCCACTACGAATATACTCGTAGGAAATGGAAGGCCGTTGTAATGTAAACTGAATGCACTGGCATCACTGAAGAACCAACAAATACCCTGCTGGAAGTGTCACGGAGGACATATAGACAACTGAAAGGTACCTCTTAATATGCACAACCAGGGGTGTAGCCGGGGGGGGGGGGCACATGCCCTCCCCCCACAAATTCCCGGTGCCCCCTTAAAAAAATGGATGAATGGATATTGAACAAGGCTACCAAAAGCTTGCCCCCAAAAACCACACAATGAAAGCTGGTGCCCCCCGTAAGATGTTGGTGCCCCCCTCAGGCCTCGAATTTCACAACAGCCATGATGGCCATGGCTTTCAGTGTCCTCCCATTTGGCCATTGTGCCTCCGAAAAGTGATCGTGTTTCATTGCCAAGATGGCAGTGCCCTTTTGTTCTCTTGGCCGTAGTGCCCTACACGCGCGTATCGACTGCCCCTGTTCAGCGAGGTACACCCGAAGCAGCAGCATACACATCATTCCTTGATTGCTCACATTCAACCAGAACACCGCGCTGCACCACCCAAATGCATGGCATGCACGCAAAGCACGGCACAGGCAACACCCTCCGGCCTATCCGACTCAACATAACAGTGCATGCCCAAGCCAAGTATTTTAATGTACCATGCAATAATGTCAGTCTAGAACAAGTGCTCATCAACATTTACGCATTATCAGTATATCGGGAGCTCCACGTTTTTTGTGCACACGGGACAATTGTATGGTCGGGGCAGTATTTTAACTAACACCGCAATGTAGTGTTTGCAGTTTAGTGCTATGTGCCGCACATGATCCGAACTGTACATACACAACATCTGTGCGGTCAATCAGAACTACCCTGATTAATTCTCATGTACGCTGTGTGCAAAATCACTGGCCTCGCCATTTTTTGTGGTATGCAAAATGCCGAGGAAAGAACGGCTGCAGTCAAAACAGGCTGAAGCCTTTCCACATTTGGCTGCTGGTTCGGCACTAATCACAGACATGTTCAGGTATAATGCGTATCCTACTTTTTCTTAGACCTGAATCATTTTCATGCAGTATAAAAAAAAATCGGGATGGCATTAATGCCCATAACTTTGGTACCGTGATGGCATTCATGCCCTCACGTTTGGCATTACTGCCCTTTATTTCAGCCAGTCCACCAATGCCAAATGGCAGTGCCCTGAAAAAAATAGAATTCGACCCCTACCCCCTGTATCCCCCTGTAAAATCCTAACTACACCATTGTGTAAAAACACATGGCCAATGGGAATGATTTATGAAATTGTGTGTGGCAGTCAACCTGTTAATAGACACAGTTCTTAACCACTTCATGCGGGATGGACCGGGTGACATCTGTCACTTGCTCCCATGCTAGAGTGATTCTCACTGAGTCTGTACACAAACAGAGGCTTGATCTAGTGCATGGAGGTACATGTATTGAGTATGAGTGGAGCTCTAAAGTAGCCATGGACCACAGCTAGGTGTCATAGCAAATATCACTTCATCACATTGTCTCAGAGTTTCCAATAAGCAATGGAACAGCAAGAAATCTTACAAATATACTGAACAAATGACTTTGAGGTATATTGTTGTTTTAAAAAGGACATTGATATTTTTGGCAGAAAAATTATATCATGGTTAGTTTATGTTGGAATAACTGTTAGCAAGTAAGTGGTTGAAAGGAAAAAACTGAATCCAAATTGGCCAGAAAGCCCAACATTGAAGCAAGCAGTGCTTACCACATCGCGCATCCTGTGCATTCATGCGCACTGAGCCATGGGGACAGACTTGCATGCCATAGGCCTGGGTCCTCTCAGTGTCAACGTCGTACACCTGATGGTCAACATTCACGGCAAATTGACCCGATGCAGACTGGCTGATCAAATGTTGTGCTGCCTGTTGGAGTTCATTGGCAGCATCCACAGTGCTCTTTTGACTGGTCACTTAATGGATTGGATAGAGAAAGAGAACAGACAGTTATTGGTTACTTTGGCATTTCTGCTATTACCACGAAAGGGTGTTTAGCTAGAATCTGGCCACTCTATCTTCAGTCACTAAACTACTGGATTTTCTGAATTTATATCACAGGTGTGCTTCAGGGTAACTGCAAGTGATCTTAAAATCTCAACCAGTGACAAAAATTAGAAGCCATTACTGAGCTGATAGCTTGTATGCAGAAGGTACGCACATGTTAAATACCTCTTCCAACCATTAAGGAGTCATGACTTGTTATTATGTCTACAAGTTTGTGATGCCACAGCAGAAAAGATATCCCCTTGGTTTAGTGTCGTGTGGATGAAGCATTGACTAGCAT